GGAGTAGTGGAATGTCACAAGAGGGCTATGCCGACCCCATCATGAACGATGGACCCAGATTCCACTCGATCATACCCGTTAGCGAACTCACCGAGCGCGTCACTCGAGCCCAAGCGATCGGGACAAGGGACAAAACTCAGCCCCTCTAGTTGTGAGAAACCGAGGATGGGGTAACGCACACAACTCAAACCGACCCCTACCAAAAGCCCGACAGGGCTCGGGGGCTCAAGGCACACCATGCACCTGGGTCTACGAACCCGAACTCGCCCCATCCGGCTACGCTTCGACAGCACACCAAACGCCTGGGTCTATGATCCCAAACTTGCCCTATCTGGCTATGCTTCGACTGCACACCAAATGCCTAGGTCTGCGACCCCAAACTCGCCCCATCCAACTATGCTTCGACTACACATCAAACGCCTGGGTCTGCGACCCCGAACTCGCCCCATCCGGTTATGTTTGACTGCACACCAAACGCTCTGGTCTGCGACCCCGAATTCGCCCCATCAGGATCCACGAGCTCCGGCTCGCCCGATCCCTAAACTAACTAACTAACAACCTCGGTTGTGCGGGCTGCACCGAGGCAAGGATCTACGACTCCGACTTGCCCGATCCCACGGCGTGCACCGACGCCAGGACCCGCGAGCTCGTCTCGTCCGATCCCTAAAACTAACTGTCTCGCCCGATCCCACGGCGCGCACACCGACGCTAGGATCCACGAGCTCTACCTCACCCGAATCCCCAAAACTAAAAAACCACCTTGGTTGCGCAATGACACCTTGGATGATGACTCCGTCTCGACTAAAAAACACGCACACACGCCCGCTGATGAAAACCCCATGGATGATTCTATCCAAATCACCCGGGGGCTCGGGGGCTACACCCGCGGGTGCGCTCGCGCGCGCCCGCTGATGAAATGAAAACTTCACCCGCCGTCAAGACAAAAATCCCCCAGACGATTCTACCAAATCGCCCGGGGGCTCAGGGGCTACACCCGTGGGTGCGCTCGCGCGCACCCGCCGTCAAGACAAAAATCCCCAGACGATTCTACCCGAATCGCCCGGGGGCTCGGGGGCTCCTGGCGGGTTCATAAACCCGGGGTCCCTCGCGGACCAGCCTCCCAACAAAGGCTCGGCCCAAGCAGACATCGCGTGACTCATGGGCCGGCCCGACTATATAAACAACAGGCCAGAAGGGCGATCCAATCACCGACCGGAAGGTCTAGCCGAGGAGGAGCGGCACCCGTTTTTTGACTCCGGCCCACCTCTCCGACCGGAGCGCTCATTTTGGTCTCCAGCCCACCTCAGACGGCCTCTCCGACCGGAAGGCCTGACCAAAGCACTACTTCCGACTCGACCCACGTCTCCGACCAGGGATGCGCCAAACCCCTGCTCACCGCTCTTCTCCGACTGGCATGATCAGAGCCAACTGGGACCAACCGACCGGGGACGCCCGCTCGGTAAGGACCAGGAAACGGACGGAGAAAGTAAGGCAGGGCGCACAAGTCAAACCACAATACAAGGGACCGTACCCTGCGCACCTGCCAGGCAGTGCTCTGCGACCTCCCTGGCACGACAAAGCCCAAACAGTGTTGTAGGTGCCGATATTTTCCCCTACAGTATTGTGGGCGCCATTAACTCTCATACGGTAAGACTCCCCCCACATGCCTCTGGGCATCGACAGTGTTGTGGGCGCACCGCATTTATCGTACCAAGTGAATATGGTGAAACTCCTCACATGCCTCTGGGCATCAACAGTATAAGCAGGTACCGACATCTGCCATACCCGAACAAGATGACGTAACCTCCCACGTGCATCTAACATCCGACAGTGTTGTGGGCGCCTACCATCATCTTGTACCCGTCGGCATGGGCAAGAAAGCTTAGAAGCAAACATACTCCTTTCCTCTCACTTGTAAGGTCATCCCCTTCATCTATAAAAAGGGATGCGCTCTCTGCAGGTTGATAGATTCAGTCAAGTCATTCCAGATTATTAGATCGATTAAGTTCACTAGTTCACAACCACAGAACCGCCAGGTTCGAACCTCAAACACGTGCTTGAGCACTTAACTCATGGCGGGGCTACCGTCACTCTCGGCCCTTCCGATCGAAGTCCGACTGGACCTCTTGTACCCCCATATTTCTTCTTCTCGTTTGTAACCCCACTGCAAACTTCGAGCACCTGGGCTCAGGAATAAAGTCACCAACCAACTCAAACTGGACGTAGGGCACGTTGTCTGAACCAGTATAAACCCTGTGTCATTGAGTGTTATGGCACCTCCGATCACAACGTACGGCAATACTACAAATATTTATTTGTTGGTCACTTTCTGCACCGACACATTCTAACCTTAGATTCTCATCTTTTGGATAAATCTTAACTCTTAAAAGAGCCATTGATACTTTGTGATAGCACAAGACTACCTGGTCTTATGTTATTGATTTCGGTTGCTTCACAAGTAATTTTTATTCATTGATATCGACGAAGCAGCAGAAGTATTGGAAAAAATGATGAGCTGCTCTGTCCCTGCTTGAAGTTGTCATTATTTTTCTTCTAAAAAAGAAAAACATTGTCATTCTTTCCCCTTGTCGAAACGCCATGTGGTGTCTGAACACGTTACAATGCTGTTTTTCTTTTTGAAAACGCAGGAGAGGTGCGTTTCATTGTAGCAAAGAGATGGTCACAATGCTGTTTAATTGTTTTTTTTCTACAGCAAAGGGCTGGCTCAGAACTGCACGTGGCATCACTTCACTCTGAGCATGACTCGGAGGTGGCATCTCGAACACCTGAATATTGCATTGATGCTGGTTCTGTTGGCAACATTGCAAGGTTCATAAATCACAGTTGCCAACCCAATCTTTTCATCCAGTGTGTGTTGAGCTGACATAGCGATATCAAGCTAGCAAAAGTTATGCTTTTTGCTGCTGATACCATACCCCCTCTTCAGGTGAGCCTTCATCACTAATTTCCTCTCTTTTTGGTGAAAATGCCAAAACATGTTTATCTAGAAATTCAGTTAGGATTAAATCATACATGTTGAGGCGACAACATTTAGTAATTTGACTTAAAAGTATTAATCATTTAATAATGCTTGATTCATTTGTTTCCATGTTACATTCTTTTCTTTTCAACCATGTTTTTTTCTCGGCTATCAAAACATAATGCAGTTGCACTCATTTATTAGGCCTCTTGGGCATCGCTCTACCTCCAAGATCCATGGAGATAAAATTAAGTGGCCTAGACTAAAGGCCTATTTGGTTTCCATAAGTCAGGTGACTTATTAAGTCAATTGACTGAAAACCAGTGACTTATAAGTCATGCATGTTTGGTTGTAGATGACTTATAAGCTCATTAAAGGTGTGGGCCCCACGCGAAAAAGGATGACCTCCAAGATCCATGGAGATAAAATTAAGTGGTCTTATAGACTAAGTCCAAAATAAGACTTTTTTAACTTATTGTGACTTATTTAACAAAAAACTAACCAAAATAAGATTAAACTTGTTTAACAAAACACCTTTAATGCGCCCAGAGCTCCGGCCCTATCACTATCTTTAGAAATTCTTAGAGCTGGAGCTGTACCAAACAAACACATAAGATGCAGTTATGTTACTAGAGGACTACATATGTAAAGAGTTCTTAAAAAAAGAAAAGAAAAGGTAGACCAACCTTGGAGAAAATAGTGGTTTTATATTAAGAACAAAACTGGCACCTAAGTTCGCCTCAACAAGGACTCCAATCTAGATGGTATGGACGTAGATCATGTACACCCTCAACTAAACTGGGCTAGGCTTAGCTTCATCATATGTTAAGAAGTAGTTGTTTTATTAAAAAAAAATGCACTAAAAGCCCCAAAAGTTGCAATATTGTTTCACCACCACACCCTTTGAACTTACAATTTCCTTTAACAGGCCCTTGAACTTGCACGATTGTCTCACCTAACCATAGTGAATTGAAAAACGTATGATCATGTATCATTTGTGCAACTGGTGTACCATAATATGCCTTCTATCTTCCTGCTGTTGGTTTGCTGACTTTGGTCAAATAAAATGTTTTGCGGATCTAATGTATTCCTTTCCCCCCAGTTTTTTTAACCAAGATTACCATGTAACTGTTGCAGGAGCTCTCGTACGACTACGGGTATCGGCTGGACAGTGTCACTGGGGCAGATGGCAATATCGTGAAGCTGGCTTGCCACTGCGGTGCATCTGAATGCCGCAAACGGCTTTACTAGATTCTCAGCCATGTTGTATGATTAAACTCAGACACTATACTCCATTATGCCCGTCCTTTTGGATTTATACTTCAGTCTTCAGGATGCTTCATAAGAGAGTGCTATGCTCATTGTGCGGCGTAGTAGTAGAAGTAATCCTGATGAAACTTCTCAATGCATGCTCTGGGTAGTTGAACATTCTATCCATTGGAGTTCCATTTCGATATGAGGCACTCTTGCTAGTTTGTGAACATGTGGTCTTCACTGATGAAACAAATTCGTATTATTTGGTATGGAATTCTGTAGTTTAACTTCTTGTTCCTATAGATTTCCCGTCTGTTGTGCATTATGGCCTACTGCTTTAGAAAACGCAAAGTTTATTTCGTGACAGTCACGCTTCGTTGCCACCGCGTGACTCCGCCGCGGAGTCAGCCTCTCTCTTCGTCTCCATCTCCATCTCCGGTGGGTTTAGAAGGGGCTCAGGAGGTAGGCCCGCTCGACGGTGGGAACGGGAGAGGTGCGGAGGCGGTGGTCGGGCGGTCTGATAGAAAACATGTTTTTCTTTTTCAGTTGCTTTCGCTGCATATGTTCTAGACATTTTCCAGGTGACACGGTAAGCATGATCCATGAACGAAACATTAGTATTCTAATGGCCGAACTCAAAACAAGTGGATGGAGAATTTGGGAGAGAAGATGTATGCGCACGATCAGATTTGTTGAAGCAACACAAAATCAGAGGCGCCCAGTGGCCAGCCTCAGAACCATGCACATCAGACCGCTTGCTGCTTGTCTACATCGTGGACCCAAATTTCCGGTGAAATCCGGGCGGCGCGCCTGCGGGGACGCCGCCTTCGGCTGCCGGCACGGCGCCGATCTCCTGAGACACCATTTCCTCGTTGACGTTCCCGAGCAGCTTGGTCTCGCCGTCCAGGAACTCGAGAAGCACCGGGTCTTGCACCGGCGAGGACTGCACGCAGCAAACCCGCTCAACGCCGACCTCCTCCCTGCTCCCGGCGCGCAGTCCCTCCGACCACCGCACCGTGAAACGGCACGCGCACCGCTCCTTGCCGTCAACGGTCTCGTGAGCCGCTGGCAAGACCTGCATCAGCGTGTCCAGCGTTCACGGTCTCAAACACCACACCAGCAGTCATTTGCATCTGCATATTTGTGTAAGGGTGAAAGGAACGTACGGACTCGAGGACGGCGTCGTAGAACTTGAGGTCCCCGCCGTCGAGCGCGCAGGAGACGCAGAGCAGCGCGCCGGCTCGGAGATCGCGGCACTGGGTGTCTTCCAGGGGCGTGGACCGCACATGGAACCTGGCGCGGAGCGCGGCCACGTCGCGCGCGGAGGCGGAGGCGGCGGCGAGCGCTGCGGGGTCGTACCACTCGTCCAGCTCCTCGAGGAACCCCTCGTACATGACCCGCAGCGCGCTGCGCTGCACAGTCACGCGCGCATCGTACCACGCGCCGTCCACTGGGGCGCGGAACTCCAGGTGGGACGGCGGGCGCCGCCGTGGCTCGGGCGGGGGCGCCTTCCGCTTTCGCGGCGTCGGCGGCATTGCTGCGACGCGGTGGGGTGGCCCAGCGGAGAGCCGGAGAGACTAGTGGCGAAGAATAAGGAGCGGGTAGCGTAAGGGCTTGTTTAAATACATTGTGTAAAGTTTTGGGTTCATCGGATGTCACACGCGACGTTAATTTATTAAGACTAATTAATCTATCATTAGCATATGTATTACTATAGCATCATATTGTCAAATCATAAGCTAATTAGATTTAAAAGATTTATCTCGTAAATTAGTTATAAAATATGTATTTAGTTATTTTTTTAAATCTATATTTAATACTTTAGATATATGTCTAATCATTCAATGAGATAGGATATAAACTTTTGAGAAGGTACTGAACCAGGCCTAACTGGCTGTGCTCTTTGGAAGCTGCGAGCATAACGCTCTGTTAGGACAATCCTAATGATGTATTGACGATGGTTTTTGTTCTCGTTAAATGACTTATACATAGGTAAAATATTGATATGGCAACGTAGTTAATGAAGAAAGAGAGTAAAAATCATAAAAATGGTTTCCTTATGAAGAAACCAGATCTTCTCTTGACCTAATGCACCAAATAACTGTGAAATCGTCATTAAGAAGAAACCACCAGTTTCTAAAGAGTTCGTGCTGCACTTCTATTGGAGGAAGAAGATAGAGTTGAAAGAAAAAAAGAGAAAATAATTATTACTCATAAAAATCATACGTTAGAAATCAGTACTTTTTTAATACGGTATTCTGTGTTATACAAACTGCTCGTTTTTTTCGGTGGAACTGCGCTTGATAGTCTCGTTTTTTTCGCTGGGACTGCGCTTGATAGTCTCGTTTTCAGCCTTGACTCTGCGGTGACTGCGGTGGTGCCGCACGCTCGCCGGCCTCCGCGCCACCGCTTGCGATCCGAGCGCCTGCCCCGTGGTGCAATTAATAGTAAGGGCGTGTTTAGTTCCAAATTTTTTTTTTGGCTTTTAGCTACTGTAGCATTTTCGTTTGTATTTGGTAAAAATTATCCAATTATGGACTATTTAGGCTTAAAAGATTCGTCTCACGATTTCTCGGCCAACTATGTAATTAGTTTTTTTCGTCAACCATGGCGCCGCAAGATTCGATATGCTTGGTCGAGATATGAAAAATCTTGAAAAATTTTAGGTTTTAGGTTGCATGTAAACGGGGCCTAAGCCTGGAGGAAAACCATGGCGGCAGCCCGGCAGACGGCAGTGGCCCTCAACCTGCAGCTTTGACCGTTCCACTGGCGTCCTATTCCCATCCATTGCGTCGCCCCCGGCGGTGCCAGCCGACAGCCGTACGTTGCTCGCGGCGCGCATGCATCCTCTCCGGCCAGCGCCCGTCTCCGTGAAACGCGTGGTAGTCGGTCGCAGACTCGCAGCCGCAAGCAATAGTGCTCGGCTACTCGCGAGGCCCGACAGGGAAAAGAAAGAAGCAGGGCTTTCTCAGCTCGTGATACCCGACCCCGACCCGCACAGAGATCGATCGAGAGAAGCGTGGCAGCCGGCAGCCGCCGCCTGAAGCCTGACGGCCTGACGGGCGCGCTGCTCCGGGAAGGAGGCTCGGCGTGGAAGGAAGGCTGTGCGCATGCAGCTGCCAACCGAACCGAGGAGAAGCAGCAGAGCCAGAGCTCGAAATCGAATCCACTGCAGCAGCTGGAGTGGGACAGGGCGAGAGAAAAGGAGACAACGTGACCCGCGCAGGAGACAGCGCGACATAAATAAATGGAGGGCTGGAGAAGCCATCGAGTGATCTGTGACGGTCTGACCTGCAGCGGCCGCACCAGCCAAGCAGCCAGCAGCAGATTCACGGAGGCCGGCCCCGGTCTGTCCTGGCGGACGCCGGACGCCGGACGCCCCACGCGCTGGCGCTGCGGCGCCAACGGCCAGTCGGCCACGCTTGCACGCTGCCGCACCCACAAGAATTTGCCGTTGCAAAACTTGCGATAGTTTCTTCCTGCAAATTAAAATCGAGCGCTTTCGGCTCTTCACCACCCCCAACAAGACCATCTTAGCACTACCAAGATTTCAGGTCAGCATTTATCCGAGGTGCAGAAGAGAGAACCGATGAGCCTGCCGAACCAAACCCATTGTGCGAGATTGGTAAACCCGCACCATGCAACCATCTCTCCATATGGGCAAATCGCCACCATACCAAACCATGTTCCAGTTTCAACCCATTCTAAACCAACTCGTACGTTGGCCTATGGATGCAACCCATGATTCTCCAATCAAATCAAACCGCATGCAACCTGTAAGTCAAGATGGGCCCTTCTCTTGAAAATACGGAGTATGTAGTAAAACTGCATGCAACATGCAAGGAAGGTTGTGACATCAACAAGATCGAGAGATCTAATCAAACTTCCAAAACTATTACGGAAATTCAAAAAAAAACATTAATGATACAAAGGGGAAATAACATAGAAATAGTATCAAACCACGACAGCAATAAAAGAGTGATACTTCATTTTATATGTCACATTAGTTTTGTTCTAAATCAAACATTATTATCTTTGATTATCTATTCTAAAAAATATTTATAGTTGACAACATATGAATTATATTACAAAATTATTTCTTATAGAGAATCTAAAACATAAATCTTATGTCAAGAATTATTAGCTTTGTTCTAAGTCAACATGTTGTATTCTGCTGATGACTGCATGAACGGGACAGGTAGATTAGTTAGAACTTTAACCAAACAATATTGATATGGACTTAAATGAAGGAGCCAAAGTTGACAGACGCGATAGCAGTACATATATGGCCAGACAATGTGCATGGTTGATACACCGGTAATTTGATTTGAGAAGAAGGCAGTAATATACGTGATACTACTAGCCCTCCTCCTCGTCCTCCGGTTCCGGGTATTGACCCAAAAAATGAAATTTTGGTCAGTTTACCAAAAATGAACTTGAGCATGTGTCTTTGCTTGACTCCATCACTTGAAATTGAGCAAATGTCTTGAGCACTCGGGCCATTTTTTTAATTGCTATTTGCAAGCCTCATCCATCCTCCTCCTTGACTCCTTGACCTTTTCTTAAAGCCAACTATCCTACCATCAACAATAATCGAGTATCACATCTTTCACATTGCCCATACATGATATGCCATCTTTTTGGCTTGGCCTCAGACATTTGAATACTCAACCTCTCTTCATCATGCATCATCATCGCTCTCTTCTTCTTAACTTTTGATTCTTGCCCCGCCTTGGCTCGATCTCGTTATTGTGGTTGCTTGTGGCGGCCAAGCTCTTGATGCATGGAGTTGGTGAAGAAGTGTTCTTGATGCCCATTCAGAGCTCATGACACTACACTAGAACAGGCAATCACCGCCGGGTGGTAAGACGAGGATCCAGAAAATTGGTGGGAACCTAAGCACCCGACAGTGATGGACACTATCCCTGCCAGGTGAAACCATCAACAAACAATAATATATCACTACCAGTTTAAGCTACGAACCGACGGTGGTACTTAGATATCACTAGCGGTTCAATCTATGAACCGATAGTGATATATCACTGTCGGGTCAAGTGTCTACCCGGTAGTGAGATACGGAATATCATTGTCAGTTTTTTGATGTGGCCCGTCAGTATTCTTTTCGTCCATTGGATCCACCTAACTATTGCAACATTGATTCTCCACCGTTGATCTAATCTACCACCATTGCTTCTGGTTATAAAAGCAGCGTCCTAACGCCTCCACGGTCATAGACGAGGCTCCCATGCCAACCAATTTAGTATGCAAGATATACATCATTATAATGCTTTTGCCACTTATAGTATCCACATATACGGACCGTTTTGTGGGAGAGAGTCCTATACATACACATTTCATTATGTGCAGTCACCATGATGCACATGACAGGCACTAGAAGAATGTTTGTGAGATGAAGACGACACTGAGTAGGCTGTTGTCCTTGCGTAAACCCTTTTGCACCCTGGTTGGCTCTCTTCACCCCTCCGGCATGCTCTTATATATACCTCTGAGACACCACTCGAGTTTTAGAAGAATGTTTGTGAGGTGCTTATATTGTAATATGTTTGTAGACTTCGATTATAACAACACTCTTGAAAGGATTAAGATGCCCAAGGGGGGGGTGAATTGGGCTAATTCTAAATTTTAGCAATAATTAAATCCTACACTTAGACCACTTCACCGCTTGTGTCTAGAATGTGTTTCTATTGTTCTACCGCACAAAAGTTTTGCACCCTAGGTTCCAATCCTACTCTAGCATAGCAATTTTAGGATTATAAAGACAAGAAATGAATTACTCAAATGTAAATGCTCAAAGTAAAGAGAGGGAAAGGAATGCGGCGATGTTTTCCTGAGGCATCGGAGAGTCACCACTCCCCACTAGTCCTTGTTGGAGCACCCGCGTAAGGGTGTAGCTCCCCCTTGATCCGCGCAAGGATCAAATGCTCTCTATGGGCTGATTCTTCGACACTCCGTCGTGGTAAATCGCCCACAACCGCTCACAACTTGAGTTGGGTCATCCACAAGCTCCACCGGATGATCACCAATCTTTCAATCACCACCGAGTTGTCTAGGTGATGGCGATCACCAAAAGTAACAAGCACAAACTCTCACTTGACCACGACAAGCCTAATGAGAAGGGTGGATGCACACTTGCTACTCTCCTTGCACTAATGAGGACCTTAATCTTGGATTCTTAAATCTCAATCATCTCACTAAGCTCTTGCTCTCCCTTGCACTCTCAAGGTGTTTCTCAACTGAACAAATGGGCAAGAAACCCCCCTTGGACGAGTGGAGTAAGTATTTATACCCCTCATTCAAAATATAACGTTTGGAGGCTGAGTCCGCGTTCTGTGGGGTGACCGGATGCTCCAGTCAGTTATACCCGCCACTGTGTCAGAAAAGAGCCGTTAAGTTCTGACCGGACTCTGACCAGCGTCTGGTCAGCACTAACCAGACGTGTCCGGACAAGAAAAACGCTCTCTGGAACCTTACTAATGTTGACCGGACGCTGGCACCCAGAGTCCGGTCACTTCAC